TAAACATTTTTTTCCGTGATTTTATTTTGAAACATTCATTGACTTTGAGACTTGTAGTGGAACGATATTAATTATATTTATATATAAACTATAAACAAATTATATTGCTGAAATATCTAAAAATTTAGCAGATACAGATTGAAATTAATTATATTTTTAATAAAATTATTTTCAAACATAAATCTAATTGAATTTTTAATTTTTTGTGTATCAACTTCTAGTTTTTACTTTCGATCGACTTTCTACTTCGTGTTTTTCTTATTATTTAAAAAATTTTTAGAGCATTAATTTTACATCATTAAAATTGTTTTTTCCATGTATCTATAAGGCTCCGTTAATTGTAATTTATTATTGATTTATGTAATACACGACATAAGAATCCAATGATAATGACAAAGATACATGACAAAGTTAATTACATTGTTTGAAAATCGGTTATTTTTAATGACATTCTGAATGAAGTAGGACTTAATAGATGTCAAGATCTGGAAAATGATTATAATAATTGAGACTCGACTATCTCAATTTGATTATCATTGTGAATCAATTAACTTTACAATTATTAATGTTTGTTATTATGTATTTAATTGAATCTGTTCTGTTTATCAAACATTCAGTTGACATTCAATTTCGCTAGCATGCTACTTAAAAACTATATCTAATAGAACGGAATTGGAACAACTTTTGATTCTTAATTAAACTTTCATCGACATTTTAATAACTCAAATATTATTTTAATTTTTATAGCACAGAATTTTAATCCAATGAGATGCATGGCTCGTCTCATTGAATAATATTAATATAACGTGAAATCCGAGGTTTCGTTTGCAATAGCTATCTTCTATCGCGCATTTGTGTTGTCAATTCAGCATTGCAGCTATTTTGTAGGCGGTGAAACTCGTGTTGTAGTCTCCGCAATGGAAAATGACGGGTCAGGAGTTCGCCATGCGAAAATGTCCGTAATCAAAGATTCACGATAGCCAAATATGAAATCCCGAGATCCTTTTAACAACTAGTTGTAGGACGGTCTCTCACGAGGATAACGTCTTCCTACTCGTATGATAGTTTCTTTCCTAGCGCATATATACATATTTATGTGGGTTTCAACTTTTTCGCCGTTGATTAATTAGCATTTCTGCAATTGCGTGCGGTGGGGAGTTACTTAACATGTATCTATAAATCCATCACGGTGGTGACTGCCATGTGTCTAAGGTGGGGACTTCTCAAAGTCGGCGAGTTTCGAAAGTAAAACCAACGTCAAAAGCACTCACGATATGAATCAGTTCTAGGTCGTTATTAAAAAATACGACATCTGTAAATCCCTTGCGTTTGTATATACGACTTGGAAATTAATGGGAAACCGGATTAACACAGGGTATATGCTTGTAATATCGGGAGGATGCTGGTTACGAGTTTAGAAAGTTCCCAAAGTTGTCTAGCCGTTGGTATGCGTCGTGCCACTTCGTCATTTTTACTGTCAATGCTCAGCAAGTTTATAGTCGCGGAGATGGGATATAATTCGGTGTGTATGCGATTCGAAGTGAACAAAAGGTCTTATGAACATTCTAATGATCTTACGCCTCCGCCGTGTTCACGCAATACATATACTCTCATTTCTAAAGAGATTACGAACAAGGGAACTTCTCGAAGTGTCAAATATTGATTCTAATGAAACTTTCTTTATATATAAGTTACGTGAACAGATGAATTTAAAAATAGTTGCGACCCAAAAATAGTTTCAAAGGGTATAATCATCCCTTATATTCTCTAAGGCCGGAATCAGAGATTGAAAATTGAAATTTGACTAATAAGGACAAAAAAATTTTAGCTCTGTTTATTTTGATTGGTCAAATTTTAATTTTTCAATATTCAATTTCAATCTTCAATGCATAGTCTGATTCTGGCCTAAAACTTTTATGCTCAAATGTCTTCACTTTCAGATAAGTTGCGGATAACTTTATCCAGATATCTCCGTTGTAATCTGGGAGATATCTCCTGAAGTTATCTAAAGGTAAAGAAATTGGGCATTAGAGTGAATTGTCACAAAGAGTGAAATCTCTCACCTTTAAAGATTAAAAATTGAATTATTCTTTTTCAAGATTTTCAAGAGTCTACTCGATTTCTGATTAAATCTACCAGAATTATAGTACATTTAATCAGGAAATTCTGAATGTTGGTTATTTTAACTAAAATTTTAGTAGATTTAATCAGAATTCTGGATCGTTCATTTTCCATCAGAATTCCAGTTAATTTAATCAAACCTTTTTCTCTGTGTACATTTATACAAAATATCTGTTTTTTATTCCTGCATTAGATGATTTTGTAGTAGATCTATCTTTCTCGCTTTCACCAAATATCAAACATATATCTATCTTACTTAAATTCCAAAAGTGTATACTAGTTCAGCCACAGAAAACAGATAAAGATTAAAATCAGAATTGGATTCATAAAGTTGTCTTGGAAGTCAAATTAATCATCCAGGCGAGATCGTACAAAAGAAAGAGTACAGGCTTGGGACAATTTTGCTGCGTCATAGCAGCAACGTTAAACGTGGCAGTTTCCCGTTTTATTATGTGTAAATTACGGGATGGTTTACAGGCGTTTAATAGACTTTCCCCTTCTGGGCAAAAGTACCAGCAGTTATAAGTGGGCATGTTGCGCGATGAATACGTAATTTGATAATTCTTCACGTTTACATCGTTGACTTCAACGTGTCGTTCCGTTGTTTCCTCCGGGTGTGGTAACTTTCTTTGAACAAATGTCAGAGGTACAGTTCTCGTGTAACATAATACAACGTTAGCGCTTAATTCTTTTTTTCTTTGTTTATGCACATTTAACGCTTAGAGCTGATAAATTTATTGAGGTATTTTCTCTGATTGACAGTTGGCAGGGAATTATGGTTGACAGTATTCTTGAATAAATTTTCTCCTTCTTCATCATTTTACGACCCGACGGAATTTTCTCGACGCGCATGCGACGCATCATACTGAAGCTCCCACCGCAGCAATTTGACGAATTGGGGTGAAAGTTCAAAACCTGCAAATCGCTTCCTATAGATAGCTCGTGGCCTTTCCAGGGCGTAGTCGTTCGTGCTGTCTAGATGGATTACGTTGCAGATCCATTAGAATAAATTCTGCATAAAATCGACAGATCGTGCGATCCTTCGATTAAAATAGCATCCGAACACTGTTTTGATAATGAATGATCAAACATTATCACGATTATCCGACATTATTCGAAAAATCTCTTGTATTATTCATCGTCTATACGTGTCTTTATGGAAACGTGACTATTAAATGTAAAAGCATCATCAAAGGCAGTACTTTCCCAAATTGTCCGTTGATAACTACCTAAGATGGCGTGAAAATAACTATAGGCGTCAAAGTCAAGATGATTATTGTGAATCAATTGATAGAAAAAATTTATCCGCTATATTATTCGCTATTCATTCTCCAAAAGACAGTATTGAACATAACGTAAAAACGAGTGTCCATCATTAACTTCAATTCTCACAAAACCTTAAAAACAAAAGGAGCATAGAGAAAATTTCTTGAGCACTTTCGATATATTTACTTTTACTTTCATATAATTTAATATCGTGAGAACGTGAAACGTCCCAAAGCTATATTAGTGCTAGATGTTACTCGTCAATACTAGTATGCAATAAAACTGATGATACTTTGAAAATTTTATGAGAGTTAAGATGAAGCACGTTCACGAAGAACTTGAGCGCTTTTTATGAATAGTCATCAACGCGCTGGATTTCGATTATTTACAGTAATATAACAAAGCTTTGAGGCATCCATCCGAGTTTCTCTCCACTTAAATATCAAAGTTTATTCCCAAGAGCCGCGCATATGCTTTATACATGTGCGTAATTAAAGATACGCGCTTCTAATTGCATTCGAGTACAACAGAAACATAATGGAATCCCCGCCGAGTTCTCGCGTTTATCGTTTCCTTCCTCTTCGGTACTCGTCTCCTTTACCTCTTAACTCATCGAATTACTATCCTAATGTGTGACAAGTAAAACTTTTACTTGTAAGATTAACTTTAATCTCGGTTTTATTTATCCTTTATCTTTTTCTTGTAAAAATTAGAAAAAGATAAACAATGAGCTAAACTGAGATTAAACTTAACATAAGATTAACCTTAATCTTGATAATCAATGTAAAATTAACTTTAATCTTGGTTAAATTTATTCTCCATCTTTTTCTAATTCTTATAATAGAATTAAAAAAAATAAACAATAATAATAAGTTAAATAGCGAAATTAAAATCAATCTTACGTTGGTGGAACCGAACTTAACAAAATTGACAAAATTCTAAAAATGTATTTTTTTTACTTAGTAATATTATAATATATATAATACATAATATTAAAAAAACTTTTATATAATTTGCAAAATAATAAGAAAAGCTTACCTGTTATATTCATTACTGTACACAATTTTCAATTTTCCAAGAATATATATGTATGCGTGTGAATTTAATTATGCATGCCTTTTCGGCAGATGTATACGTGTGTTCTCGCGTAATTACATAAAATATGCAAATCGCCGGTCTCGCTTGTACGGCTCGAAAGCCATAGATACGTGTTTACCATGTTTTTAGGAGGAGAAAATCGCCTACGGGCCGTTGTGAATCTTCCACTTCATAACGGAATTCACGGAGATAGACTGAGGCGGACAGAGACTTTAGCTTTCAATCTCTCTCGAATCAATACGGTGAAACCCAGTCATAAATGTCCATTTTTATGTCATCAAAATCTCGTCAATATCATCGCATTTAATCAATTCTGCTACTGGTTTATCTCTTCCCTAATGATGCATTTAACTTCGATAGTGATTGAAGAAATCGATCTATTAGCGACTTATAGAGGCAAATTTTGCTACAATAATTTAACGTAATCGCACAATTAAAAAAGCATCGAGACTTAATAATTATTAATAAACGTCATCTACATAACGTCATCTGCATTGTCTCAATATTTTATTATAATGTTGCAGGTAGCCATAACAATTTTAGTAGCAGCAGCCTGCCTCAGTCTGGCTAGGTCTCAGAAATCTGAGACCTTGGCTAAGACTCTCGAAATTCCACCGCCTCCAGTAAAACTCGACAAAAACTTGAGGCAAGCGTTGCTGAAAGCGCTGACGGAACTAGAAGCTGAATCTGCGGAGCACCGAAAGGATGAAGACGAAAAAACGCTCATTATGACTATAGAAAAATCTTTCGATGAAGTGGTGAAGAAGAATCTAAATAAGAATATTGGCGTGATACCGAAAGGTTCCTTTTCATTCGATAATTTTCCAGGAGACGAGGAAACCCTCAATGAGGAAAAACTGCAAAATTCGAGCTTTCTCGAATCAAAGAGGTACGTTCCCTCGAGTTCGTCGGGGATGATAGAAAAGGCGAGTCACGACGACGCCAGAAGCTACCATGTGCAGAATGTGGGTCTGTCTGATAAAAGTACAACGCCTCGAACTGAATCTATACAGGATTCTTTAGAAATAAAGAAAATTTCCGCGAACTCGCCCACGATTAGCAAGATTGATAGTATCACGTTGAAACCGATTACGCAATTATCAGAGAGCTTGGCGCAAAGCGCCAGCAGCGGAATTACCAGCGCCAGTGCGCTAATCGCACCAAAACCGACCGCATCTAGTCCAACAGCTCCGCTTAGCAATGTTACTTCATCTTTTAGCGCTAATAAGGAAAAATCTAAGGCAGAGGAAGTGAAAATACTCCAAGCGCCTCTGGTAGCGGCCTTTACGGTGCAACAAGATGAACTTGGTATACCGAAGAGTGTTGTGCCAATTTACAGACAATCAGGCGATGGACAGGCTCTGACTCTTCAGGAACAGTTGGAGTTCAAGCAGAAATTACTGGAGCAACAGTTGGTAGAGTTGCAACAACAACAGATCCAACAAACGCAATTTCTCATCAGGCAACGTCAACTTTATGAACAGCAGTTGAGACAGAAGCAGCAGCAGCAACAACAGCAGCAGCAGCAGCAGCAACAGCAATTATATCTTCAAGAACAGGCTAGAATCAAACACTTGGAGGAACAGACTAAAATCAAACAATTGGAGGAGCAGCGTTTGAAACAGCTGGAGGAGCAAAGGATTTATCGTTTGCATCAGCACAATCAGTTTCCATTGCTGCAAAAACCGCACGTCTTCGAACAATCGAATGTATTGTCGCTTCAGCCACCTCTGGAACCTACCATTCATCTTCAACCGAGCTTATCTCTAGAAGTTCCCAGCATCGCGGCGCCTCCATTATTCCGCACGAACTATCAGGAGCAATTACATTTCCAACAATTCCGTCAGCAACCTCAACCACAAGTCCAACTTCAACAATCACAGCCTCAACTTCAGCATCAGCAGCGACAGAATTTCGTTTCATTTTCTACCACGAGTGACTTCCAGCCACCCGTAGCATCGGCCACCAGATTTAACAGACAAGAGGCCTTTAATGCAGTCGGCAATTTTGGTTTTAATCTGGATAACAAGCAACCGCCTCCGTCAAGGAACGCGGTCAATTTCAACGTGATACCAAGGAATCCTAATACGTTCGTTTATAATCCTTATCTGCAGTTCAAGCAGATCCCAAGAGCGCAAACGCCCGCCAAGCAGATCCAGCGTTTGCTTTATCAGTCAGGAGTCGCTGGCGATTTAGGAAATGTACAGGGCCAAGGTAGCGAGGACCTCAACATCGTGTCTAAGGTACTAGCGCTAAATGTTGGCGCGTTGCCCACACACAACAAGAACTATCAATATATTACGAATAATCGCGGCAAATTGAGCAGCGCGTGAATAGACAGATAAACGTATCGATGTAAAACTTCGACGAGTCGTGTAAAATCACTACAAGACGATATTAGCAAGGTGAAATCGAGCTCTCTCTTTTTCTCTCTGTCTCTTCGATCTTCCTCTCATGTTTGTTTCTTATGATCCTTATTCGTTTCTTTCTATCTTCACCTATTCTTATATAAGTCCTTTAATTTCTCAAACCTTTGATGGCATTGATATACACATACAAACTGGTGACAAAGTCAATACATATACATATACATACATATATACATGTATACATAGAGAACATAGTTATTTATAGCGAGAGGACGCAGGATGACTTGGTAAGTTCAATAGTACGTATACGCGAGTCATGACGATAGTAACCTTGAATACCAATATCCAAGTGAAATCGAATCGTTGCGAATCGTTTTGCCCTCGGTGAGTTACCTCCGCGAAATTTTACTCTCTGTCATATTTCGACGATAGATGCGTGAGACAAACATAATAGAATAGCGGCTTCAGGGAGGGAAAAGAATTGGCATAACGAGGAAGTTATTCTCTTAGCGAGAATATAACGGTATTAATTACGATTGTATGTATTTTACAACAAGGGCCTGCCAATGTAACGGCGTATCCGATTATGCAAGTTCGCATTTAATTTGCGACGTAAACACTGTACATAATTGTGTGACTCCAGCTCCACTTCCTTATCCATTTTGATTTTCTCTTCCATTCTTGATACGACGCCCGCGACGTGAGCACTGTCAGTTTCGTTGATAATAGCAAGAACACTCTCAACGACAGAGAACGCGAAGAAGCACGTAATCATAAAACGTAACCGTAGCAATAAGCATATTTATGTTAACAGGAGGAGGATTAATCTATGCGCTTAACATGACATGAAAGAAGACGAAAATCTCGCCGGACTCGCATTAATTATTACGTTTCACTTGGATTTGATCATAATTAAGTTTAAGAAAGAAAAATGTCTCGTAATTTAGTCTCGACTCGCAAATTTCCCAAAGCCATTTACAATATTTGTCAAGTTAAATAGCTCCATAATGTTATATATTATCGCTTATGCCAAATTTCTACTAATATGTGCACCTAATGGATTATTTGTAATATTTATATTCTAAAAAAAATTTCGTATAATATACACAATAAAAGATATTTTGTATTTGTTTTGGAAGCGGTCTCCATTCGAGTCTTTGTTAAAATTTTGTATGGAATTTTTAATACATTTGAATGTTAATTTAATATAATGTAATTATATATTATTTAAATATTTTTTGTTAAATTGTTTTCCAATATTTCTTAATGTCAAAGTAACACAATTTATGAGTGATGAGAGAATAAACAAAATAATGTATAAGATGATAAAAATAATATATTAAAATATTTAAAACGTAAATTCTAAAATAACATGAGAAAATATTAGTATATTTTAAATAAATAAAACACGTGTAAATTTATAAATATATATATATATTACAAATATTAATTTTACGGAAAAAAAAAGCTTTCCTAATTTGCTTATAAATTGTGCCACTTATTAATACCTTTTCTGTGTTAATTTTTACAATATGTGTGTTACTTTCTAACATATTCATCTTATGTTAAATTAACACAAAAAGAGTAGACCGTTTGGAAGGCACATGTAAGATATGTTAAATTGAACATAAATTTTCCAACTATGTAATTAATTCGTATGATTACTTGCTCAGTTAAATTTCCCTAGAGAAAAAGCCAAATCCAAGTTCATCAAAGATCAAAACTCTATTGATTAGCATTGACGTTTTACAATATAGCCTATGTGTATATTGTTCGAATTAGTTTTAACAAGACGCACACATACATGCATTAATGCATACGAAGGTACACACGGAGAGCTCGTTCAGGATCAGGGGTCTCGCGAAGTCGTGCATCGAGCCGCGCATCGGGATTGAAAATGCTTCTTCGACTGTAAATAAACTTTCCCCGGCGGGCACCACACAATGCCGACGAGGAAGCCGCCGACGCGAGAGACACATCTCTCGCGTATATATACGTGTATGTCCTCAATTTCACAAACGTTTGGCACAGATCCGTGATTTCACCCGACGGGCGAATCTCGTGGGACATCGGCATCTCTCTTTTTTTTTGTTTTACTAAAAAGTTTATTTAAACTTATAAGTAATCACATTATCAAATATCTTTTCGATATCATTATAATTATCAAGCAAAAAGATCATTAGAATTTTTCTCGTTATCTCCTACATGATATGCATTTTTTTTTATTCGTATTGGAAAGAATGCATTTTGCTATTCTCTTTCTTCTAAATTCTCTCTCTTAAAAAATCTGATAACATCTGCATGAATCATTTCCGCAACTCTATTTATTAGTTCGATTTGATGTTCGAGCGTTATTACATGTAACGCTACATAAATCTTTAGTATTGCGCTGAGTAACGATAAATCCGCCTTGATTAAAGATTTAAGCTTTGTCTCGAAACTGAAATTGATGTTGGATGCGATGCACCTTCGGCGAGAGTGACTGCGTGAGCGAAAGTTGATGGTGATTCGTTCATAAATGCGAGTCCTTTACAAGCGCGAGCTGCGGCTTGCGCGACTGAATGTAACATTAAAATAACGTAAAATTAAAATAACATTAAAATAAAGTATAAGATAGCGTTAGATATAATCTCGATATAATTTGCTTATAATTTATCTGATGCTGGATTGTACGAATTCTTGTGTATAAATGTTAATAAACTAATTTGTTTAAAAGAACGGTCATTTTATTTTGTAAATCAAGAATTGTAAAAATATAAAAACTTTATTAAAACATATATAATAAATATATATATGTTAGAAAAATTTTAATTAAAAAATCATATTAATATTAAAATAT